AGAAACATGGGAAATCACATACGGCGTGGGTCGAGCTCTCGGATCAGCTGCGCCAAGCCCCAACTGAAAGTGAAGCATGTCGGATGCTGCCTTGTTTGTGACGCGCACCCATAGTGGATGACTTCTTCCCGTCTGTGGCGTCTGTAGACCGGGGTAGAGAACCGGGAGGGGTGCGTGTCGAAACCGGAGGGTGGTGTAGGTTTGTTGGTGGGGCGGGAGGGGGAAGGGGGTGCTGAGGAGGCGGATCGCTTGGTTGAGGGCGGGTTGGAAGGGCCCGCCGAAGGGGGAGTGCTTGAGGCGGTGGCAGGGCAGGACTTGGCCGTGGGTGAAGAAGTTGGAGAGGAATCTGAGTGAAGGGGGGGGTTAGTGAGATGTTTGAGAAAAAGGGTGCTGGGGGGGAGGTGGTTTACTTGTTTGCGAAGCAGATGTCGGCGGCGCCGAGTGTCCAGCGGAGGTTGGATGGGTCAAAGGTGTAGCGCAGGGGGAGGATGCCCCATACTACGGGGTCGTCGAGGCTGGAAATGGCGGTATGAGTTACATATCTTGTACGGGTTCCTGGTTTTTGAAACCAAAACTCACACGCTGACGTGGTTTGAGACTACGGCGTGTCAGCGCGTGCATGGGAGAACAAATGGGCTAACTGGTTGATATCCCACCGGTCAGGAGGCCGCGTTGGCGTTTTGCAGGATCTCTACGGCTGTCTAGGATATCGAGAAAGCGGGAGAGCCCCGTCACTTCGACCCTGTTAAACCCGTATAAGAAGCATTTTGAGAGAACGCCCGTCATCCCCATAATCATGGCCGATTTCAGGCGCATCGAGAGGGTCGGCCCATGAGGGTTCGGCGTGGGTGTCGCCATGGTCGGATCACGAAAGGGAAAGAAAAGAAGCTAAATATTCAAGAATTAGGTGCCGACCGAGATTTCACATCATCTCACTGCCTCCCGTCGCGCACCGAGTCGGGCTCATCGGCATGGCCTAATGGAAACAGAGAAAAATAAATCAAGAAGAAAACAGTGCCTTTCAACCGATTCGCCGCAGGTTCCACAACGGCCTGTAATTGTTGGGAATGGCAATTCCCTCAGGCTTGAAAGAGTTGCAGGTTGCCGAGCCACGAACCTGGAAACAACTGCCATTTTTGGCACGTGGAAAATACAGGGGCTGTTCCCCCACAAACCGCCAAGAGTTAGCTGGCTCCGCTTGTGCGTTGGCAGGCAAGGCAGGCTGAGCTGCACGACAGGGTACGAATAGTGGACCCCGAGGTCCAGGCCTGCAGTTCGTGAAGGTCGACAGCTTCCCTTGGAGTTCAGGGAGTTAGCGATCAACTCCTACTGACATCAATCCATCCACAATTCAAAATGGCCCACAGTGAGTTGTCCCGTCAGGCCTATTCGCTACTTGACAAGTTAATCCAACTCTCTAGGCAAGAGAAACACCAGCCGACCCATCTTCACGTCCCACGAACGGGCAATGGCCCGTGTGGCCTGGGGCACGTCGACAGCTCGCCTGTCGCGGGAATCCTTCCTGCCATTTGCCTCGTGCTGGTTGTGCCTCGAGCCCGCCATCGACCCGGTCGCATGCGCCCACGGTGATATCTTTTGCCGCGAGTGTGCCCTCAGCAATATCCTGGCCCAGAAGAAGGAGATCAAACGAGCCGACAAGGCCCGCGAGCAGGAGGAGCGCGAGGCATTGGAAGAGAAGGCACGACGGGATGCTGAGGCTCAGGAAAGATCCATACGAGAGTTCGAGTTGACGCAAGCGGGGCTGAGTATTAAGAGGGGGGGTGGCGCAAGTGGTGGGAAGGAAAAGACGGAGCCGCCAGGGCGGGATGGCCAGGCCGAGAATGGGAAAAGCGGTCAAGACAACGGCCCGAAAACGGGCGAGAAGCGCAAGTTCTCGCTAGACCCCGACGAGGTTGCGCGCATTGCCGACGAAGAGCGGACGAAGGCGAGACGGGCCATTGACGACGAGAAGGCGAGTTGAACAGCAATGAGCCCCCGAGACAGAGAAGCTAACGCGGTTTCATAGGCGTCAAAACCTACACTGCCGTCATTTTGGTCGCCGACGGTAACCCCGACGTCAAATAGCAGCAACACGTTGCATGAGGTGAAGAAGAAGGTCAAGTCGCAGCCGACCTGTCCGGCATCAGCAGAGGATAAACCGCACCACTACTCACTACACAGCCTCATTACCGTCAACTTTTCGGAAGAGAAGGATTCAAACAGCAAATCGCCCCAGAGGATATGCCCGGCCTGCACGAAGGGGCTCACGAATTCTTCGCGGGCTACACTGGCCAAGCCTTGTGGACATGTGCTTTGCAAGAGCTGCGTGGACCAGTTCATGAAACCAAGCAATGGAGACTCAATGCGCTGTTATGTTTGCGAAGCTGACCTTACAGAGAAGGAGTCTGCAAAGAAAGAGGGCAAGGAGAAGATCCAGCCAGGCTTGGTAGAGCTACGTCGCGAAGGCACAGGGTTTTCGGCCGGTGGCAGCAACCAGGTCAAAAAAGATGCCGTGATGTTCCGATGCTGACGGTATGGTCTTTTGGATTAACTGCCCTCTCAGCTACTGGGCTTCTTTTGGATCGCACTCTACCAGTTGGTCGGAGTGCCCTGCCCCGAGTCAACTGCATCCTTGACATAGCGTGCTCCCCGGCGGAGTTCGTTGGGCCCCTGATGACGAAGCCCGAAGGTACCGTTCCCGCGCCTCTTCGCGGGCTTTTTTGATCCTCGCAAATAGCCTCGCCCTGAAGTGAGGATTGCGCTTCAAGACGGCCAAGATAGCGAAATAAAGCTGCACGATGAAACGGTGGATTACGTCCTTGGACAGCATGGTCGTGCCGTGACTGAAGAAGCCCTTGAGCAACTCGCCGCCAATCCCGTCATACAACGCCTTTCCCCCTTCGGCCCTCGCTATCCTCAGCACCGTCGCGAAGATGTTGTCCCTCCCTCCCGACCTCCCGCCCTCCCCCTTATCGTCTGGCGCCGCCGACACCTGCATGCGCGCCTTGGCGATCTGGAACGGATACGTCGCGCTCGTGGCGATGACTTTGCTCGCCGCAGCTAAGAGGAATGTCGTTGATGCGCCCGGCTCGTCCCACCGCTCTCTCGCCACCAGTGCCCTCTTTAGCACCTGCTGCAGAAAGAACGTGATGCTTGGATTTAGCGTCAGCACCAAGCTAGCCGAGTAGCCCGCCCACAAACCGAGCACGCCTCGTTCTCGTCGCATCTCGGAGATTATCTCGCCGAAGCTCAGGTCCCGTGCCGCGTTGTCACTATCCCCTTTGTCGTCACCGCCGCCGCTACCACCGTCGAGCAAACTAGCCGTCTGCCGCCTCGTAACCACGTTGCTCACCGGCGTGGTGAACAACTTCGCGCACGCCCCCGCGGCAGCGCCCACCGCCAGCTCCTCGAAGCCACTCAAATGGGGCACATCCCTCCGCATAGCCAGCCGTCGCGCGCGGAACCACTAACCCCAGCCACTCCCCATTAGTAAGATACTCAACTCAACCAAACATACCTAAGTTGAGGAAGAACTCACGGTATAAAACCCAAACCACAACCCCGCATCCGCCACGCCCTTCCCCAGATCCACCCCCAGCCCCGCAAAGAAGGCCCGCGGCCCGCCCTCGCGCGCGTAGATGGTGCGGAAGGCGTCGGCCACGCCGGCGTACGCGTCCGCCGCCGCCATGCTGCCGTCCCGCTGCAGCTGCCGCTGCACCTTGAGCCGCGTGCTGACCAGGTCCAGCGGGTACGTGGCCAGGGTCGAGAGGGCGGTGCCTGGTGGCGCCGGAGAGGGCATGGCCGAGGGCGGGGAGGAGGGGGGGTGGCGGCATGGTTGTGAGGGGGGGTTGGTGGTGGTGAAGGGGGGGGAGGGTTGGTTATAACGGGGGTGAGTGATAAGGGATTAGGGGGGAGGGGGTGAGTGATGGGGGTGACGTTTTTTTACTTGGGACAGAAAGGTAAAGGGAGATGTAACCCGGGGGCTTACGAATAAACGGTGTGAAGATTGACTTAATTGTGCTGTACACATATCAATTTTGGGAAGCTGCCCGAGTATATATCTATCTCCCTGTCTTGTTCCCTGATGCGGGCGAGAAGCCGAGGTATGATGCCCAGCCGCAACGACGTCATCCCGTGTGCTAGTGCCGGGTATGTCATGCATGAACACCGGCACCACATGGGCAAAAAAAGCCGAACTCCAAAGTGTAGGCGTCGCGGAAACCTTCGGCTAGACTACCGGTTCATTTTGGCTCGTTTCTTTTTATTTAAATCTTTATTTTATTTTCGTCTTGGCTTTTTCTTTTCTCCCTTCTTTTTCACCTCTTTGTCGTCAGCGACGATGGCATGCGCCAGTTGTCACTCAGATCACAGACCTTATCATTATCAAAAAAGACAGAGTTACAATCGAGGACGAAGACTATTGAGGTAAAGGTAGTAACTACCACGTGGGACCAAATACAATACAATATATGCCGCAACTCGGTCCACCCAATATACCAGCGTGGGTATCGGCCTCTACAGTAGGCGCCATGGTTGCCTCAGCCTCGCCTTCGACATTCCTCTCCATGGACGACATTGAGTATCAGTGCAATCTGCTTACAACAATCTTTTGGCGGCGAGTACCCTCAGGCTCGACAAGGTCGAAAAACTCATCGCCGCGATCACCGAGCGGCTGGATTACGTTCTTTACACCACCTCCTTATAGAAAACATTCCGATTAGGTAATCGGAATGTTTTCTATAAGGAGGTGGCGTAAACTATGCAAGACCGCAGCGAGGCTACCAATAGCCACGAGGGCTCTTGTGGATGCACGCTATGGCGATGGCGGTTTACATCTTACCCCCAGCGGAGTAGGTCTCTGAGCGGCCGCTCTAGGGCGGTTTGTGTGACCACCCCTCCTGCAACCATGGCGAGTTGAGCTGTTGATGCGCTGTGATCTTTGTGATGGTCCTCGTCATGGTGAGGCTTACCCAGGCGCCGCTCCATCTTGGCTATACGTCGCTCAGCCTGGCCGCGCGCGTCGTCCTGTGCCTCGGCCAACCGCTGATCGACCTCCTCAACGGGGTCTTCCTCCTCATCCTCCGCCTCCATTGAAAACTCTGTCGGCTTGTACATGTGACGCGCCCGACGAAAGATAGATCCCAGTTGATCGTACGTCACAATGATCGTGGGGCCCCTATAAAAGAAGGGACTTGCTAGGCGCGCACCCCGCCCGAAATTGCTGGGCGTGCACGCCTTGGTTCTGAACGGGGCCGCTCAACAAAGCCTGCGCGGTTTATAGCGCTTCCAATTGGTGAAGAAGGTTCCGAATAGCCTCCTCGATCGCTTGAATCGCTCGAATTGATGTAGATAAGCGTGGTGTTGCGTTGGGCGAGGTGGTGAGGTAGGGTCTTCGATTCTGTGAGGTCGATTGGCTGGAGGATAAGAAGATCGATATCGTCGTATTCCTCAGAATCCTCGCCTGCAGCCGAAAACTCCGTGGCGCGCGGCAGGGCTGGTGCAGGTTGTTCCAGCACCTGCGGCTCGACCGCGCGAGGGTTTTGCGACATTCTGGTGGGTTCCTAGCATTCTAGAACGGTCAGATTAGCCGTAGAAAACATGTTTTTGCTATGCAGCTTACCTGTGTTGATTGCGGGGTGCCTGGTTGAAGTTGGAGGATTTGATCTGAGTGTGGCAGATGTCGGCGGTTGGCGATGTTGAGCCTCTGACCCTAACCCTGGAGGGTGCGCGCCTAGCAATTCTGGGCGGGGGTGCGCACGCAGTAATTTTGGGGGGTGCGCGCCTAGCAAGGCCCTAAAAGAATCAGATCGTCGTTCGGAATAAGGGCGACGAACCTCGTGATCTCAGTAGCTCCTGTTTATTTTATCATGGTAGTGTCCGTCCGAATAAGATGGACTGGAGAATGAGATAGACAGGGTCCAATCAGATGGACAAATAGAATGAGACGGACAGAGAGGATGGGATGGAAGGCCGATGATACAAAATTTCCCATTGTGTGATTAGAGTTACTTAGAGTCGTCTGCAAGTAAGAAATGATGGCCTCCTGTTGACTAAAGTCTTCGAGAATTTTGACCCAAGCTGCGACAAAGTCGTCAGGGGTTGCGGCGTAACAGAGATGCTTCCAGAGCTTCAAGAAGCCGGTGGGATTGTCCTCGACCTTTGTAGGCAAGCTACCTAGCGTGACAGACTGATCTTCACGCCCGGCAGCAGCAACGAGGTCCCGGAAGATGGGGTCAACGTGATCATCAGTCTCATCAACCTCTTCCACTTCCTCAGGGGGCTGTTGATCGGCTGCCCAGACCCAACGCTTCTTCACCTCGAAAAAGACGTTCTTGTTGACATGCCAGAGGCAGATCTGTTGCTGAACGTCCCCCCAAACGTTGTCTGAAGCACTTTTGAGTGCCATCTCAAAATCCGTGACCACGACATACGGGTAATCTGCCCCGATTTCGGTTCTCAGGTTCTCTAGCCGTTCGAGAGCCCAGGTGTACGCCGGCTTGTCTTCCTTGTTGATCACGCCGAAGGCGATGTTGAAGGTCGAGTGGGTATTCGTAACACCGGTGACGTTGAGGAAGGGCATTTTGAAACGGTTGGTTTTTTAGGTATTGTCTAAGGAAACGACCTGGGGATGAAGGCGCCACATCTCCTCGCACAAAGGATATGTCCAAATGAGGCCGGTGACGTGGCCATCAAGCTGACGTACGTAATGCTTGACCCCATGCTCCTCAAAGAGCTTGATCAATGCCTGAGTGGGTGTGTAGCCTCCGAGAGCCTCGTCTCGGGCGCGAATGCCCTCGTTCTCGATGTCTCGGCGACTCCAGGGCTGATCTGGGTACTTGGCTTGCATGAAGGAAGCGATATCCCGGGTCGAGGACGTTGTTGTTCGGGTGAGATTCCGGATTTCGTCTCGCTGCTTAGCGGATAACTTCCGGTGAGCTGGATGGGCTACAGGGTCGAGAGAGGGCTCATGATTGTGACGATCGATGATGGTGTCGAAGGCCCAGCGGCCGGGCGTCCAGTTAGGAGGCCCATTCTTGACCCAGCGTGTTGCTCGTCCTGCCCTGTTTACTTACCCCCTAAGTATAACCCCCCCCACGGATGTCGATCCCCACGCACACCAGAGCAACATCAGAAACGTAAAACCCAAAAGAACAACAGAGACAACCTCTCCTCCTTCCCCCCGATCCCCGCCGTTTACCCCCTCAAGAAAAATAAAAGAGAAAGACAAAAAAAAGAAAGGAAAAAAAAAAAGAGAGCCACCCCCCCCATCCACCCCAACCCCAACCTCCAACCCTCTTAAACCGGAGAACCCAACCCAACCCAACCCAAGCACACACCTCTGGACGAGCTGGGAATCGAACCCAGGACCTTTCGCACAACCGGAACGGACCCCCCTCGCTAGGAGGGAAGGGTCCCAAGGAAAATGCTAAGCGAACGCTCTACCAACTGAGCCACACGCCCTGCCGAGTGGAAGTGGAGTATCACCAGTTAGGGGGGTGGAGCCCCTGCGATGTGGAGGGTTGGGTCGAGGGTGGGTTTATAAAGGGCGATGGGGAAGGGGGGAGGAATTGTGCCATGTCATGTGTCATGTCACAAGGAAGAGTGTAACGGTGATGGATTGGGGTGTGATAGGTGAAATGTTGCACTAGATAAAGGGACACAAAACAGGTCAACGAAAAACCCAGGTCCAAGGTGATCCTGAAACATGTATTTCCATTTCCCTTCGTAAGTGCAATGCTCGACCCGGAACGGAATGAACCAAGCAGCAAGCCGCCGACCCAACGCCTTGTTATCCACCTCCCAGCCAAGTCAAACCAGGCCCGAGACCCAATCCCAGCCCAAGCCAAGTCCGAGTTGCACCTGATCGTAAAACGCCGTTGATGCCGTGTACCGTAACCGTGTAAAAAACCTGATGCTTCAGAGAAGGAAACCCAAAATAGCCCGAAAGGGGCTTTTACTCCGAAAGCGAGGAGGCTCGAGGTGAGCCCCGCAAAGGAAAGAAAATAAAGAAACCGGATGGGATGGGGTATAATATAATGTTACATGGCCTCAGCGCCAATGCCCCGGGTGAAAAGCAGTGGTGCAATGCAATGAACGCCGCCTCGTAGTCATGCACCTATTGCCCAGTCTCTTGCTTGATGCCACCCTGAGCCTGCTCCTGCGCCTGCGCATGAGCCTGCGGCTGCACATGTCCCTGCACTTGGGGCTGTGGTCTACCGGCGGCGGTGGACGCAGACGCAGACGTAGACGCATGTGCAGACGCAGATGTAGATGCAGCCGCAGCCGCAGAGAATGATGCAGACGCCGTAGCGGCCGACAACTGTGGCGAGGGTATGAGGGGCCTGAGGTTATGAGGACCGGCAATCGCGACGGCGGCTGCCATGGCAGCGGTAATCGACTCGGTCGGGCATTTAGCCAGTGGGTTCGGAGCCTGGGTTGCCGCCAAGTGCTGAGCGTGAGCTCGGATCTGCGCACGACGTTGGGCATGAGCCTCCCGTCTCACGGCCGCAATTTGGTGTTGCGCCTGCCCCTGCGTCTGCCCCATGTATCCTTGAGAAAAGGCCCGGGCCTGCGCCTGCTGGTAGGCCCGATGCCCTCTGCTGTAACTTCGTCCCCGGCTCGTAGCTTGGGCCGATACGGGAACCCACTGGAACTGGGTTTGCTGTTGAGCATGCTGTTGTTGAGCATTCTGACGTTGAGCTTGCTGCTGCTGTTGCTGCGCCAGCAATTGCTGGTACCTAGCAACTTTTTTCTCCGGCTGGTTCTGCTGCAGCTGCCTCTGCCTCTCAACATTCATCGCGGCCCAAGTCCCCATAGCCTGCGTGGCATGTATGTTGGGGAGAGAGCTATGGCGCGGAACCAAGCCGTCACTTCCAAAGCTGACATTCGGGTGCGGCCACCCGTACAGAGCAGGCGTCGGTACACTGTAAGCTCGAGCACCCTAGGCTCGGCCTGCAACCGACGGCTGCCGTTGGGGTGGCCCACCGAGGCTGAAGCTGGACGATCGCCGCGAAAAGTCCCCGCCCATGGCCGCCGGATCCGGTTCGCCTGGCGCGTCCTCGTTTTCGAGCAGGCCCGGATGTCCCTCGGGAAGTCGCTGGGCGCCGTAGCCAACGACCTGAAAAATGTTGACGCGGCCGCCGTTCGTTGCAGTATGCAGTTGTTCGTGCAGGCGGGCGAGCTGGTACTGACGCTTGGTGGGCGCAAACACGGGCTGTGGGACGACGGGCTGTGGGTTCCAGTTGGCCAAGGCACTCATCACAGCAGCCGTCTCCTCGTCGCTGTCGACCGCTGCCTGGTTGGCTTCGTCTTCGTCCTCCAAAGGCGCGTTCGCATCGATAGCAGCCTTCTGTTGCTTGGCCTGATTCTTCTTTTGGTACGCAGCCAAAAGCATGTCGTATGGTAGTGACCGGCCCGGCACGGCCCTTTTCGCGCTCATGCTGTGGCTTTTGCATGTCAGAGATCGGGCACAGGGCTGGCCATTCGGCAGCAGCACACCGCACTGCCTCTCCACATCGACGGGGCCCTTTGGTTTTGCAGCCTTCGGCTTGGGTTCATCCTTCTTCTTCTTGGCCTTTCCCTTGTCGAGCTCGCCCTCGGCCTTCCTTTTCTTGCCGGCGACGTTCGTCTTTTTCGCCTTGCCGGTGGTCTTGCCGGCATTTCCGTCCTTGATCTCGTCATCGTCGTCGCTATCGTCGTCACCTCGCCCGGCACCGTCGCCCTCCGCTTTGCGCTCCTGCTCCCTCACAGCCTCCTTCATCCGCTCGCGGGCCTCGCGAGCCTCTTTTTTCCGCTGCGCCTTTTCCTTCTTGATTTTCAAGCACCGGGCGACGTGTTCCCCGCCCGCAGATCGGGTAATGACCTTCTTGCAGTGCTTGCATTGGAACATGTCGAGCTGGTCTTCGAGCGGGCGGCCGGTTTGGAAGTTCTCGCGAGAGGCATCGTCGAGTTGAATGGTGACGGGGCTGGGGGAGGCGGCAGTGATCGCATTGTCTTTTGATTTTTTCTTGTCCTCTGCCATGGAGTGCAAGAATTAGCCTAGCTGGAAGATAGGAAAAAATGCGATTGAGGCCGTAGGGTTATCAAAGGAAGATCCGGCGAACCTTCAATGATATTGGCCTCTTTCCAGTTTCCAGGCTTGGCCTGTTTCGGCGGGGCTTTTTTGAGTTTGATCTTGCCGAACACCTGGGGTCGTGAAGGAGTGACGGATTTTTTGATCGAGGCGACCTTAATGGTGGCCTCCTCGTCTGTTGCGGCCGAGTAAAATAGTTAGCAAGAGATCAAGCATGTGAAATGGGAGAGCGCGTGTCGCAGCCGCAGTCGTACCCTTGCGAGAATCCATTGCGGCCGGGTCGGAGCAGCGGCCGTGCTATCAAAAATGTGATTGCATTCACGAAATTGAACTAAGGAAATCCCGGGGGGAATGTTGTTTTGGGCAACGAAGTAATATTGCCCATTCCGCGCGTCTTTGTTGCTGACGAGTGTTGTATTGCTGGTCGCTGGTTGCACGTTGCAGGAGAGGCATCAATGAAGCTGCGCGCACCAATCAGATTGGTCAACTTTTTGGAGGCTCGGAGGTCCCGTGTAAAGGTGGGGCCGGTCCATGCATTCAAGCACGGCATTCCAACCGGGGCATGGCATGAATAGGTGGATCCGATATGGCGACCTTTTCTTGCCTCTGTGCTGCACGAATACAGAGCAGTTCAATTCAACAATGGGGGAGGTGGTCAACTACAAGCAAAGAGCAGAATAAAGCGTATCAACACACACACACACACAAAAAAAAAAAACCATTTCACTTGCCATATCCCTTCTATGTCGCTAGAAAATGCCTGCTTCGCTCATCGTCCCGTCACGACCCAAATAGCAAGGCCCTGTTTCGGCCTGCTTTTTGTTCCCATTATTACCCCCTTTCCTTTCACTGTCGCCCAATTGAGTCAAAAAGACCACCCGGAAACTGAAAACTGTGGCCCTCCTATCTTTTTCCACTGTCACCGACTCGGATAACATTATAAAAATGCCGGTACGGGCTGCCACCTCCTTTTATCTGCCCTGCTTCGCCGCCGCTCGCTGGGAGCAAAATTGTGAAAGGGTGCTCCCCGGGAGCGCCCCGTTTACTCATCTCCCACCTGGTCGCCTCTTCTGAATAGGGACCCGCTCATTGATGCTGCTCCGGAGAGAATCTCGATGGGAGTGTTGCCATAGAAGGTCGATGCTGATACCAAGCTGGCCACGGATGCATCCCGGCGAAATCCATGCTACCGTATCCGCTGGTGTAGACCGTTGTGAAATCCTGTCGACTTGCAGGCATCCAGGATTGCTAGTACTAGTAGCCTCCATAGTTGCTCTGGCTCGGCACGGTCTGCTGGTAACCCCCATGTGGGTGCATCATCTGCTGTGCCTGCAGGTGTTGCTGGTGTTGCTTAGGTCCGATCAGGTCGTTGAACCATGGGTGGACAAGTGCCTCGGCCGCCGAAATGCGCAGCTCGGGTCGGACCTGCAGCATGCGCTGGAGTAGATCGATACCGAGGTGGTCGATCTGGGGCAGGATGCTGCCGAGTGGCTGAGTGGCGTACATCTGCCAGGTCGTCTTGTACTCGGGGAACTGCGAGAGACCTGGCCAAGTACGCTCCGTCGGTGTGCCCATGATGCGGAAGATGCGAATAATCTGGTCCTCGTTGGTAGTACCCGGGAACAAGGGTCTGCCCGAAAACATCTCGGCCATGATACAACCGGCCGACCAGATGTCGATGCTGGTGTTGTAGGTCCGGCTGCCGAGCAGGACGTCAGGAGCCCGGTACCAGAGCGTGACGACCTCGTTCGAGAAGGTGTTGACCGGGATGCCGAAAGCCCTGGCGAGGCCAAAATCGCCCAGCTTGAGCTGGCCCTTGCCGTTGATGAGGAGATTCTGGGGCTTCAGATCACGGTGGAGAACCCGGTTTTTGTGGCAGAAGTCAATCCCCTTCAGCAGCTGGTACATGAAGGACTTGATGACCGGGGGTTTCAGGGCACCCCTCTCGCCCTGGGTGTCCATGTACTTCTTGAGATCGCCGTCCATGAACTCGAAGACGAGCATCAGTTTGTTCTCTGTGTGAATAACATCGTGAAGGGCAACAATGTTCTCGTGCTTGAGCTCCTTCATAAGCGAAATCTCGCGGATGGCAGTGCTAGGTGTGCCCTCCTCTGAATCCAGGTGAATCTCCTTCAAGGCCACCAGCTCGCCTGTCTGGCGGTTACGGCCTTTGAAAACCTCGACCAAGTTAGTATAATGGGGGTTAGGATTGATGTTATGAAAATCTCCACTCACTGTAGCATATGTTCCCTCGCCGAGCTTCTCCAGCTGTTGGAAGGACGCAGCATGCCTTTTGCCGTCCATGTCTCTGATGGTGAGCTGGGCGCTCGTGGTTGGCAGGGATGGACTGTTTGTTGGGCGGAGGCCGTCGCTGATAGCAAAACGGGCGATAGGTGGCGGTCGAAGAGAGGTTGAGTGAGGGAGGCCAAAAAGGACGCTACCAGCGGTGATAGTGTCGCGAAGGGAATTGTGTTGTGGTCCAGGAGGTATGCTCGGGGAAGATCTGGGAGAGGCCGTGATGGAGGAAGAGAAAAATGCCTGCACCTTTTGAAGGAGAAGGCGTGAGTGACTCTTTTTGGTGAAATGCTATGAACAACGGCTGACCGCTTGGTGGCGAATTCTGCACGCGTCGATGGCTAGGTACAAGCAAGCACAGGGCAGTGATGATTAGACCGAAGATGAAAGAGAGAGTTCGCTGCTCCTGGGTGTTCGGCTTTTTGTCTACTGGCTGAAGATGATGGGAATGGGTACGAAGTGAGTGAGATGGGATGTTTCAAAGCCAACCGAAACACATGTCAGGTCGCAAGGGCGGCCGCCGCAATACCCCGCCCCCACTAGGCTCTTCACTCAGCTGGTTGGGTTGGGCGGCAGACAGTGTGAGCTAGCCGTGAGTGGACAATCCAAACTGTACCAAGATGCGATGGCCAAATCGGACGGAGAGACACAGCTAAGGTGGGATGGAGATAAAATACAGGAAAAGATGAGAAGTAAGAATATAGCGCCAAGTAACTAGCAACGCAATACCAAGCTAAGACAGTAAAGTTTTGAGGATTCAGTTGTGTGACTGGGAAGGTGTTATACCTGCTACGTCGCACGGCTCACCCGCACGGTGTACGTACTCGATTGCCGTCGCACTGTACTGCCCTTTTATAGCGCAACTCGCTGTATGTACACTACTTGATAATGATCTTAATATCCAACCCAACCGAGGGGACCCGTAGCAAAGCTCGCCGTTTTAAGCCTGCCCTTCACAGCTTTTATGTCGAGTGCTGTCCTCCTCAACGGAACGTCTGCAAGGGTATAAACGCCCAAAAGATACGTATGTGTCGCCCATGGCTTCATCGAGAAGCCAAATCAAACCGTCCCGCCCACGGCCGCCACAAGTTGTCGACGTAACCGATCTGCAGGAATGTTGTCCTTAGAAAACTCGTCATGACTGTCCCTCCCCCTTGGGCTCTGTGTTCTGCACATCCATCCACTCCAGCGTAAACGCGGTGACAATCCTCGCCCAGTCCTTGATAGTCGGGACATCCAAATGCGCCGCGTCGTCATCCATCGTATGCCACACCTTCGGGAACGGCGACGGAATGAGATGCAGCACGGGCGCGCCCCTCATCATGAACGGTACATGGTCGTCGCCCACAAAGGCACCCCCGCTAAACTGCGTCGCCATCTTCCCGCTCTCGTGCAGGAACTGGCCCCCACTCGGTTTGCTCTCCAGCAAGCCCATCTGCCGCAACCGCCCCTCGAGGGCCGCCATCCGCTTGTATGCCCAATGCGTGCCCTGGAAGTACGACGGCACCTCCGGGTCGGCGGCGCCCAACAGGTCGAGCAGCACGAACAGGCTGATCTGCTGCAACGGGTTCTTGAAGGTCGATCGAGCGGGGTGCGTGGTGTTCTCCCACTCTTCCGCGAGCGCCCTATCCCCAACAGTCAGTTCAGCAACCCCCTATCAAATCAACCACCCAACCCACTCCCACCCTCACCCCCCTCCGCACACCCAACACCAAACACAAAATCAGCACTCACCTCGACCCATACAAACTATCCGTGTCAGTCCACCTCACAAACGCCTCCTCCCCATCCAACAACAAAATCTGCACGCCCTGCCCGCCCAACCCCTTCATCTCCTCCCCCTCCACCCTCGCCCACATCCTCGCCAAAAACCCCTCCACCCGCCTGGCCACATCCATCAGCACCGCGCACGGCGCCGCGCTATCCGTGGCACCCACAAACCCCTCGGGCTCAATCTTGCTATCATAATGCGCCACCAGCGTCAAATACCCGACCACACCGGGCCGGCCCTTCGTCCACGGCGGATCGCGCCGCAGGATCATGTTCGCGAACGGCAGGCGGCGGTCGCCCGTGGCCGGGGTGGTGGCGGAGGAGTTCTGCCAGGTGAGGTCCCACTGCGGGAGGTGGGTGCGGAAGAAGCGCGCGAAGTGGTGCTGGGCGGCTTGCTGGCCGGGCGTGCCGGGCACGCGCGGGATGAGTAAGGGGGAGAGGAGGTCGCCTGTGGTGGGGTCGTAGTCGGTGTCGGAGGGGGAGGGGAGGGATTGCAGGAGGGAAGTGGAGAGGGGGGTGTAGGCTTGGGTGAGGCCGAGGAGGGTGGGGAGGAGGTGCGTGGGGCGCATGGTTTGGTTTGGTTTGGTGGGTGGTCGTTAAGGTGGGTGGTCGTTAAGGTATCCAGGGGTGTTCGTTTGGGGGGTTGGTTATTGTCGCCGTCGAGGGCAAGGGGCCCGACGGGGGGTTGAGGGTCTTCGCGCGACTCGTGGCTAGCTAGGTAGCTTTTAGTGTCTGAGAGTTGAATGTCATGCGCATGCTCGGGGGTGTATCGCGGAGGACGAGTCCGGACCGATGGTGTGGCCGGAGTGCATTGGCGCTGTCGAGGACGACTAGCCAATTGATCGCGTCGTCAAGACTAGAACAAAAAGACGAGCAGCTCTCGACAACAGAGTCCGGTGTACGTGGTGTTTGTCGCTGTTCGGAGGACAAACCCCCGAGTGTCTTGACACAGTCGCTTGTTCGCTGATTGGTCGGTTTCATGTTCCCACGAGGGCCCCGCCCGAATCGGCCGGCCGGCAACGCAAGCCTCGAGCGCCCGGTGATCGCCGATCCAGGCACGCGGGCTGCCAACCCCTGCCGGGTCCAGCCCACAGATCAACCTTGTTGGTGTTTACTTGCATCGCGGGCATGTAAGAATTGAATGAACTTTCCAGTTTCGCTCAGAATAACAAATTATGGATTAAGCAGGAAATAACAGAACACGGGCTTCCATCTCCTAGTATAGAACTGTCTCACTCTAGTTCTGATCCAAACCCAAACACACACACCTCCAGGACAACCCCCAACACAACGCCAACCATGCACACCCTCAAAATGCAGCCCAATATGGTACAGTACATCAAAAGGCACGCCAGTATATGGATGGGACCACCCGCCCAAACAACCAATCTATCCGAGCCACAACATTGCAGATATCGCTCTTATCCAATGTTCGATGCAAATCCAAAGCAAAGCAAATCTACTCCCCCCACCAACGCCTCATATCACACCCCAGATCACACCCCCCTAAACGCCCTCCTCTTCCTTATCCTTAGCAGCATTCCGCCTCTCCATCTCATCCTCTAACGCCAGCCTCTCCGAGAAGCTCCTGGGCACGCCGCCCCTCGCCAAACTCGACGCCCTATAACTCGTGCCCATGCTCGCGGCCTGGGCCGCCGAGATGTCCTTGATGCTCCCCACGTAAAGCTGCACGTCGTCCATGCCCGCAATCTCGTCGTATAGCTGCGGGTCCTTGACCGGGGGCATCACCACGGACCGGCCCATGTACGAGCCGACGCTGTGGCCGAACAGCACCGACGAGGGAGACACGGGCGGGATCCGAGTGGCAGTAACGGATGTGGAAATAGATGCGACCGTTGGTTGCTGCGGCCGTTCGAGGCCTTCGTTGCGGAGGCGGCCGGGTGGGGTCGTATCCTCGTCGTCAGATGATTCGGGATCGGGTAGGTATTTCTGGGATTTTTGTGACTGAGATGCAGCGGGGCCCCCAGCTTCGTCGTCGAAGTCAAAGAGTGGGTTGAGGCCATCGTCGTCTGCGCTGTGATTTCGGTTGGTTTCGGATGCGGTGGTTTGGGACTCGGGAGCTGGGGCGTTTGGTGGCCGGGTACGAGGGGCGGCCGTGGAGGGGGGTGGCGTAGAGGGTGATGGTGTAGAGGAAGAAGACTTTCGCTTGATCGGTATCGAGAGAAACTCCTCGTCGGACTCGCTCTCGTCATCGTCGTCGTAGACCGCCGATTCCTCGAGCGGTAGTCCGGGCTTCGGCCGACGTGCAAAGTACCCGGTGCCGTTTGCTTGAATAGTTGGCGAGTCAGTCTTGGCCGGCTGATTCGATGCCTTTGCTGATTGTGTTGTCCCATTCATCTTGACGGGCTCTTCTACGTCTGCGTTGACTTCTCTCCACGTTGTTCCTTCTTCTAGCGGACTCCGGGTGAGTGCTTGTAGTGCTTGTGTCGAGGACACCTTTCTTGGTTGTGGGAGGGAGTCCTGCTCCCCTACCGCATCGAGCAGCGAAGTTCCCGAGTAGGCAGTTGACTCATTCTCGGTTGTCACGACCGCTGCCTTCGCCTCGGGCTGTGGTTCAACCCCACTTTCCTCGACCGGGGCAATACTCGGTGTCTTGGGGGACGAAGATGCGGGAAACACTTCCTCGCCTTCAAACTCAAAACGTACCCGGCGCGGGCTGCCCTTAACTGAGCTGGACGATCGCCGGAGCGCGCTTCGCCGGGTTTTGGAGTCGCTGCTGGATGACTCAAGCGATGACGTAGACTGGTCAGTCAGCCTCCGAATCGCACCCGGCCTGTCCTCGTGATTCTGGAGGAATGCCTGCTTGGACTCCGCCACTTTTTTCACATTATCCGTCGACAGAGCGAGTGCCGTTCCTCTCGAAGTCGGCGGCGGCGACATTGGCGGTGATTGCAGCGCGCGGCTGTCCTCGAGTAGCGGTAGGTAGGTTGGCGTGAATAGTCCCTGGAACTCCTTCTCCCTCGCGTGTGGATCCCTGGGGCTCTCCTTCGGGATGCCCGAGGTATGGCGAAGGATGGGTGGGGGGGATTTGCGACCGCCCCAGGCGGTGCGGTCGATTGCCGGTGAGTCCGGTGCCTCACAGCTCAGGCAGCTCAGTGCTGGGTATCTGCCCGCGGATATGGAGGCGGCGATGGCTCGGGAGACCTCCCCAGAGATGTGATCCGGATACTCCTTGAGACACTCGTCCATGTGTTTGTGGAATTCTGTTAGCATGTCGCGTTGATACGCAGCGACTTTGCCATCGAGCTCGGTAAGCTTGTCTTGCAACTCGCCCACGAGCCGGGCAGCGTCATCCATTGTGTTGTTGCGGGCAAACGATGCCGGAGCTTGAGGCAACCCCGCGGACGTCAATGATGCGCGTGACTCAATTGATTGGTGATCGGCAGGCTGCAAAGCATGGCCTGCGCCGCTGTTACACTCGGGATGGTTACGTGAATCTGACAGGTCGGTAAACATAGAAGAAGAGTGGATGCAAAAGTAGGAAACGGTAACTGTGGGGGGTAACAGAGGATGATGCGTGTTTTGTGGAAGAAGTTGTGCTTCTGGTCAGGTTAGGTGTAGGTTTGTGTCTCTTTTGCTTGCATGTGGTGGTGAGGTAAGGCAAACGTCAGTGAGGGACAAATCGCTGGGGCTCTTGGGTTCCAGAACCTGCAAGTCCCGCCCTGCCCACACGCCTTGGCCACTGGAGGCTCCGCTGATTCGGGGCGGGGGTACACCTGCTGTGGACCCCCAGAGCCGGCACCAGACGGCAACGGGTGTTCTCGATTGGCGATGCAGCACCCGAACATTGGAACGCTCCTTCATCGCCCTGCACGCAATATATCCATGCAGCCCGCTAATTGAAAATCTCTACCGGTCAACCCCGGCGATGCCAAATCCAGCAGCCCGATTGGCACGGAACGCCCGTGGTTTGCTGCGCGTCAGAGTAGCCTCAAAACGGCTGCTCCAACAGCCTTGTTAGGAGCAGCCAGTCATTGACTCGTTGCGCCGAACAAGGCCCCGGCGTTGGTGGAGGAGGATCGAGACAAGTCTCTACGGCTCCTCTCTCGAAATGTGCTAGGCGGGGTCATCACGAGCTGGATGGCCGAGATCCTATGTACCTAATTCAATTCCGCGAATACGACTTCACGGAACCACGGCCGAAGCCGAAGCCACCGGCCAGTTCCCGCCCCTCTTTCATCAAAGCCACGAATTAATGCGGCCGGTTCTCCAGTAAGCTTAGCTCCCATTTACAAATGCATGGCTCGAGTACGAGGTTGGCTACCGAGTCGCTTTGTGACGCCCATGAATACGGGACTCGGGGACCTCCCCGTCAGCACAATTGAAGTTCTTGTATTTGAGTACATCCCATTGGTGGGTACATTAACCCGCTCATTATCAACGGCTTCCTCCTGATCGAATCATCGAGTATCCGGAACATGAATACTCTCTCAAGCAAATCGAAGTTTCCAAGCCAATGACAACGGGAAAGTGAAAATACACCAGTAGAACAGCAAGTAGAACCAGACATTGGTGAGGCGCGTCGGCCATCAAACCAGCAACATATGGGCAACATACATCCGAGCCCAGACAAACACCAGCTAGCCATCTATAGGACATCCTATCACATAGAGGGTTTAAGCATTTCGATACTAACGTCCTCGTCAGAGTCCTCGAGACATGGCTCCTTTTCGACCTACAGTGTGCCATCGGCAGCCCAAGAGGTCGGCCCATTGGCACTAACGGCAAAAGAAGAGCCGCAGCCAGAATTCGCGATCTTGAGTGGCTTTCCGGGGTCAGGTGTGGTTGCTGATGCTTCGTAATCGACATCCATGGCTGCCGTATCCTCACGTTTGATGGGGCGCAGCACCTGTTCGAACTGCTGATCGGCTTGGGAGAGCAGAGCCCGAATTTGATCCCGAGAGCTGGACAGGGCCTTGAAGATGTTCAGATCGACGAGTAGAGAGCTGTAGTCATCCTTCATCAGATCCACAAACTTATCCACCTTCGTGGTCACTCTGAACCCGAGGCGGTTGATGGTGTGGTTCAGAGCGCGTTCTACCTTCTGCGCGGCCGCCTTGAACATGGTGTCTCGCACGCTCTTGACGTGTGCGACTACATGAGCTTTTATGCGCTTGAAGCAGCCAGTGCCTGGAGTGCGAGCGGTTAGTACTGTAGGACAACGAGTTGCGGCATGTAGTCTTACCGCGTTCTTCAACGCCATATGTATAGGCGCCTGCCATCCCCGATGCAATAACGGGGAAAAAAAGTCGACTGGCTGTTTTTTGTCCGGTGTTGAGATAATCTTTAAATCCCACGGTGTCGTTGAGACCGTGTTCCAGGATCTCGACCTGGCGAGCAACCAAAGCAAAAGAGGGAGCCTTCTTCAACTCTGGCCGCTTAGCCATCCGTAGGCGGAAGGATCTCGATGATTGTGCGAGGGTTGCGGCGAGAATATCTAGGTTTTGCGGAAGAGTACTCGAGAAAACCTCTTCCCAGGCTTCGTCATGGGGTCGGCGAGAGCTATTTGGTGTTAGGTATCTGAGTACTGACACCGGCAGGCTAGCCTCGACGAGGCCATTCAAGATCTGCCTCACTTACCCGTGTTGAAATCCATTGGGCCCCTCCGGGGACTTTTGAAGACACCGCTGCGCAAAACGTCAGGAAGGATAGTCTAGGTTGGGAAGGTAGTGCAGGAACATGCTCTCGGACGCATGTCGCACGGAAGGTTTGGTATGGCAACCCTCCATCGTCCTTATGACCTATCCAGGAATTGACTGTGGGAATAGCGGCCTCGGAGGCAGCGAGTGCCCCCAACGTAAGGTTTCCGAAAATCTTAGAATTCACGGTTGCCTGAGATTGAGCAAAACATTGCTGTATCGCCGATCTGAGCTCCTATAGAGAAACAATGATGTGTTAGACAGTTCTGTACCAGAAAGGGTCATTCGCTCTTCCAGGGGTCGCGGGCTCCTACCAGTCGAAGAATGTTTATAGCCTCCGTGAGGGATTGGAACTCTTTCTCTCTTATATTACTGCTGAGCTTCAAAGGTTGGTCCGATAGGACAACTTGAAGATGAAACGAGGTCAAGAAGCGGCTTAGATGCTGGAGAAAGCGGCGGCCGGTTACTGCCCGCGTCTCTTGGACGTTCCCCAGCGCATGTTTCTGTAAAGCCGGGATTTCAGTATCCTCGAGACAATTGAAACCCTTCATCTTTTCATCGTCTTTCAATCTACCAGAGATCTTCTGATATGCCTTGCTCGACACGCAGAAAACGGGGAGCTTTTTAGCGACATTGCTGTAATCACGCCAGGCATGATCAGGGTCAAAGTTGTCCTCGTCGTAAGCAGCATTTTCCTGGTCCAACCTAGTACCTTGTCAGCGCCGTTTGTAAGGCCGCGTACAATGGACGGCAACTCACTCCCGAATGCCCTCGGCAAATTGCGCCTGGATGGCAGGTCACGAATAGTCATTGCGATACTTGATACACGCCTGTTTCATCTCCGACCTGAGCGACCTGATTTCAGCCCTTACACTTTTAAGGTCTTTCTTCGGCGAAAGAATCAGTTAACTCAACTCCTCGCGCTTCGAAATCAACTTGTTTAAGTGAGACTCGGCCTCCCGCAGCCACCGCTTTGCCTCCTTCAGTGAGATATGCTCCTTTTCGGGCCCATCTTCCAGAACAATTGGCTCGTCACCCAAAGTGGAGTCCGAATCTTCAGAGTCGTCATCACGTTGTCGGCGCGTGCGCTTGCTGGGCTTTGAAGTTTTCTCTCGAGTCGGCCTCTTGCGTGACGCCCTCGGAGAAAACAAAATCACGTCATCCTCATCGGCCGAGTCGTCGATGGCCGATCGAAGACCGCCAATATATGTTAGGCATTGTTCAATTTCGCCGTAGGCCTCAGTTTCCCCTTGCTCCAAGATATCGAGTTTCTCTTGGAGCTTCTTACACTCCGGCTCGAGAAGCCTAATGTGGGCATGGAGCTGCTTCGCCTCGGCCTCCTCAGGTAAATATTTTAAAGCTTCAGTGACGGAGATATCGTCGGCCTTTGAACAAATGACGGTCATCCTCGAGTAGGTTCCGTCGAATTGCAGTTGGCGTTTAAAATTATCTCCGAGGTAGGTTTGGGCGACCTTGTCATCAGCCGCCCTTGCGATGGGTGCGACGACCCAGAGGCCTGAGCATTGCTCAATATACTTCGAGGCAATTGCAGACCGGGCGGCATTTGAATCATGGGAGCCAGGCTGTTACACGCGTTAGGGTTTCAACCATGCAAGAATGCCATAGATCCGGAACGAAACCCTAAGGAGGCACGACGGTCTCAGCAAGGCGAAGAGCTCACTGCTGATTCAAATCCGGACGGGAGCAATAGGCTTACGGGACTTCTTGTTTACACGGGGAGTCCCGGAGGTTCTGACTCCTGCCTGCGAGTGTGGCAAGGGACGAGAGACTGCCGAACACCTGGTAGTGTGGTGTTTGGCCCCACCGTTGACTAGAAGATGGGAGAGAACTGGAATTCGGACACGACGGGACTTTTACTCTGTTCTACACGGCATCAATCCCACGACTGCACGGCTCGCGAGGAGAGTTCTCGACTGGCTGATGGACTCGGGGAAGCTGCCGATGTACAACTTAGCCAGGAGGCTCGAGCTGGAAGCGGCGGCCTGAAGCGCCCCCGTTCGGAGGCCAGGAGGCCTCCTCTCTTTGTATATGTAGGCTCACTAAAACGCATCGCTCCTTGATTGTTGGTATGGGTTTTTCACCCGGCCCGGGAGGGCACGGTTTTCCTGTACACTAAATAGCTGAGGGTCCGGCACGCCCTAGGGCATAGCGGAGTATGAATAATAATAAGAATGCCATAGAGTTACCTACGAGGTCCACCAGAACAAGTCCTGTTTTCAGGATTGGGGATGGCACAAAGACCTTCACGACCTTGACCAGGGGCCAGTACCCCATTTTTCCAGGCTGTTTCTTACCAAGCGCTTTTTCCTGAGAGTCGATGAACGGCTTGAGGAGCTTCAAAAGGTCTTCGGACTTAGAGCTAGCAAGCCGCTCAACGGTACCAAGCAAACTCTTGACTAAAGGTTCTGCTAGTAGTTCGTCGATGTCAAATTTGCCGTCTTTAATCTCCTCACTCTCCAGAGACGGGTAAACGGCACGGATCTTGTCGTAGGCGATGCTTGCCTCACTTTCGCTGCTCTTGTAATTTGCCCCCAGGGCGTCTTGGTTGTCCGCCATATCGACGAGCATAACCCGCAGTTCTTTCGTCCACTGCTTCTTGGAAATGAAGTGGATCTCGGCGCGATATTTCTGGTCTTCTCGGTCTGAGTTGTTGTAGGAAATTTCCGTGATGACTGCAGTGCATGCACGCATGCCGTGGGTCGGGACGAGGCATTCTTCTTCTAGAACTGCATTGATCACCGAGCTTTTACCAGCACCGGTGCTTCCAACAACGCCCACTACTGAACGTTGAGGAGCGGCTTGAGCCTGAAGTTTATCGCATGATTTCACCCGTTCCGCGATTTCGGGCATAGTCTCTGCGAGTGCAAAGGCCTTCTTGATGCTGCTGAGAATGCGAAGCCCGGTTTGGATGCCGCCCTCCAGTTTGGATGGGGACTCGCTCACGATAAGCTCTTGAAGCTGGCTGAGCTTCATGACGCTCGTTGGGTCCGAGTCATTCATGATGTCCCTGCTAGGTATGTCAGTCTTAGGTCAACAAAGTCTCTACTATCGTGCACCATGCCGGGATAATATGGAGACATCAGGGAGAGATAAAATGCAAGAAAATCGCGATGGCGATCAAGTGCTTAATGGATGAGGATAATATCGCTGTTTGGAAACAGCAACTGAATGGAAACCCAACTCACTTATAGGGAAACCCTGCGTATCGTGGTCGCGATTCCGCCAGGTGGTGTTTTCGAGAATGTAATGCAAGCTGCTTGAGCCGCGCAAGAAAAGACGACGAGAGGTCAATTCAGTCGCAAATATAAAGTCGATGATCTCGACAACAAAAGAAAAAAAAAAGCAAGAATCAGAAGATCTGATAAAGTTGAGTCAGTTGCGATGAAATTCGCCTCTAGCCAACCGATTAGATTTTGGATGGCATAGGTTTGAAGTCTCGCGTGGAAAAGTGGGTTGGGAGAAGTTCAGTCAGCCAGAATAATGAGAGGAAATTGTGGGAAATGGTGGGATGGAAAAACAATCCGAGTATGGCGGAACTATTGGGTTCAACAGAGGGGCATCGCTGAACGCGGCTCTGGTCCCTTCTCGAGAGAAGTGAGCGAAGAAGCGGTTACCTGAGAAGAGGGGGGAGAAAAAGGGAATTAGAGGGGAATTCTGTGAACAACCCAAAAAAAATGCCGTTCGCTTCGAGTTTGGTAGTTATATCTACAACGTGTTGTGTCACAACGGGCAACCTGGGCAACCTGGGCTTCTCAGCATCATCCACAAGTGACCGAGTCTTGGATTTTGAAGCTTGAGAGATAATAATACCCCTATCGCAGGACTTGGACTAGTTGGAAACGCCGGTCGTGTTTGTCTCTGCTACTTACGGACAATAAACTGGCATGAAGTAACCACTAGGTAGGAATTAGAACTAGAGGATTAGAATTCCCTAGGAAGGTATCACGGTCACCACCATGGCACCCACTGGCCATAAAAAGTCAAACTCGAAAAGAGGAGAAGAAAACAAGAAACGATAAAGGAGTCAAGGAAACTCAGAAAAAAGAAAGCAGAAGAGTAGAGGAAAGAAGTTGATACAAGGAATAGAGTCAAGTAAAGAGTAGACTGGGCTTCCGAATGGCTTCTTCTTCGCTACTCCAATCGAAGATTTCGGCGGCATCTACGCCTCCAGTTCGCCTCTTTTATGCATGGGGTGTCAGATTCTTTCCGAGTTTTGACTCCAGACAGGGGCAAGCACTCTTGTGAATGTTGATGAGGAAGGAGCGACGTTTGGAAAACGCGGCTCAAATCGGTTAGGCCCTGCCAAGACTGAATGTACCCACAATACCTGACGCTAAAATTGACCGCCTTCCCTTTTGCATTCTTTTGCCATTGCAGGTTCCCCAAGGCCTGGGAGCACTTGTCGCATCGAGAACCCGCACTCACACAACCGGACGAGACACGGTTTCATTCAACAAACCACGTCCCATCCTGCCGCGATTCGGCTCTAGCAAAGCGATTTGCCTTCGTCTCATTGACAGTTTGTTTCTTCTGATAAGGTCGCAACGATAAGCCTCAAGATGTCGACTATCACCCCGACGGCGCTGCAGAGCACGCAGCCGCCCATCATCCCGCTAAACTTCAATGGGAACCAGCCCGAGACCATCCGCTTGTACCCTCTCTCCAACTACACTTTCGGTGTCAAGGAGACCCAGCCGGAGGAGGACCCGAGTGTTTTGGCCCGCCTGAAGCGCCTGGAGGAGCACTACCAAGCCCACGGCATGCGGCGCACTTGCGAGGGCATCCTGGTGTGCCACGAGCACAACCACCCGCACATCCTGATGCTGCAAATCGCCAACGCTTTCTTCAAACTACCCGGCGACTACCTGCGGCCCGAGGACGACGAGGTCGAGGGGTTCAAGGCGCGTCTGGACGAGCGGCTCGCCCCCGTTGGCAGCCTTGGCGAGGGCAACAAGGCGGCGGACTGGCAGGTCGGCGACTGTCTCGCGCAGTGGTGGCGCCCGAACTTTGAGACCTTTATGTACCCTTTTGTTCCGGCGCACATTACGCGCCCTAAGGAGTGCAAGAAGCTGTACTTTATCCAGTTGCCGCACTCGAGTACGTCTATATTCTCCATATTCAGTCTTATGACGATGCTAACCGGTTGTCTACAGAGGTCTTGAGCGTTCCCAAGAATATGAAACTTCTCGCTGTCCCCCTCTTCGAGCTTTACGAAAACACCCAGAGATACGGCCCTCAGCTCTCGGCTATTCCCCACTTGCTCAGCCGCTACAATTTCGAGTTTGTCAACGAGGACGGCGAGGTGGTTGCCATGACGCCAGGCTCCGGACCGACCGATGGCGAAGTCCCCAAGACCAAGGTCCTGGCTGGGGGTGACGACATCGACATGAAGACGGAGAACGGGACGCACTGATTAGTAAACGGCATCACTCATGGGTTTGCTTTTCGGCGGGCGTCCGGCGTTGGGGTTAGGCATCATGGGATGGCGATTTACGGCTAGATATCGGTAGCTGGAGAGCAATGCTGAGCCCGCCATTTAGATAGGTAAATTGGGGGGCGTATACCCGAGATCCGAATGTGAATTCATGCCTTCTCACCCTGAATGGTGGCTACTATCTTGCGTGTGTGCTTCGCGGCACGGAATTCAAGGTACCAAATGCCTTGCCACGTCCCAGTGGCCTGGTATTGTTAGCGAACCCCCTTGAACTTCATTTGGCATCAGGCCAGCTTACCAGCTTTCCATCCTTGATGGGAATCGTTACGCTCGCTCCGATCAAAGCAGACTTGACATGCGCAGGGAGATCATCAGGTCCTACACTCCGCGTCAGCCAGCCATGCCCGGCATTGAAATCCAACCAAAGTCCGACCGAGTAAGATAAGAAAGGAACGTGCCTTCGGCATCATGGCGATACAACGCCTCCCCATTCGGTCCAGCCTCGGGCACAATCTTATCTAGCGTATCGCTCATATCGGCTCGGACATCCTACGGACGGTACAACCACCCAAGTTAACATTTCACTCCCATTACGTCATAAACACCGGGTTGAGGGGGGAGGGCGGGGAAGAAGGAAAAAAAGGAAGGTAATGCGAGGCCCAACCGAAGTTAGGTGGTAGCACAATCTAAGGGGGGGGGGGAGGCGAGAAGAAAAGAACGCACCTCATCCCAATTCTCATTCAAGCTCAGCGCGCAGCTGGTGTGCTGGATGAACAGGTGCAGCAGCCCCACCTTGTATGACCGCAGCTCCGGCAGCTCCTTAGCCACCGTGTCGGTGATGAGGTAGGAGCCCCGCGAGCGCGCGGGGAGCGTGAACTGCTTCTGGGACCACATCGTCTGTGGGCCTGTGATAATGGCTGTTGGGGGACGGGGTGGTTGGTGGTTTGTGGTGATACTGGTTGTGGTGGTGGTGGTGCTTGGTGGGGAAGAGCAAGGCGAGGGGTTGCGGTCCAGAGGAGGTGGAAAGAGGCTGGGGAAGAGGCAGATGAGGAGGAGGAGGAAGAGGATAAGGGTGGTGGTTGCCCGATGTTGTTGTTGATGATGATGATGATGACGGCGTTGTTGTGTTGCTGTCCTTGTTGGTGGTGGTGATGGTGGGGCCCGCTCCCGCCGCTGATGGTGCAGTTGGTGATGGTGAGCGTCTCGGAGACATGGTATTTCAATTCGGAGATGGCCCGGAGAAGGAGGGGCAGATTAGTTGCCGCCTCCACATCTCCTGCAAGTTATAAGAGGTGGAGGCGAAAAAGGCCGGGCAGCTTGAAATAACTGGACACATCAAATTGCAGGTGGGGAGCCCATACAAATCTGTTAACACGGCTCTACGAATACTGGTGCACGACTAGACCTGTGTAGGTGTTGTACCTATCAAAGTAGGCATGGAATGGGTAATAACACACTGGGAAGAGGTTTACCATAGGCAGTTATCAAGATTTCGTTTCCAATCCGTCTAGATTGGCTTGATAAGCCGGGAGATATGAAGAAAATCGTCCTTCTTCCCCAAACTCTTTGGACTTTTTCTTCTCTTCAACGCACTCTTGGTTGCCTAGCCTTGTTAGCTCCTGTCGGCTTGGCTGATTAAATCTCTTTAGTTATTTAGGTAGGCAATGCAACGCGCGGTCGTATCATGACACACGCCGAAAATAAACCAAGAGTTCGACGTTCTTCGTATCTTACAAAGCAACGAGGCAGTCCTCAGCGCCTGGCACGGTAAATGGGGCAATTGGCTGTGCGGCCCGGTCGATGCACGGATCGACTTGTGGGGATTGGGGGGTCCGAACTCGGGTGGGGTCGCTGCTCCAAGCCTGGGCTGGGTGGTACCGGCTCTTGGCGGCGTTTACCGCCATGTTTTGCAGTGGTTGGAGCAACTTGTGAAGTCTCCCAGGCGCGCCAGGCTCGGTTCAGGCTGTTTTTTTGGTGGGGCACCCGCTGGAGCTGCATGCAGGCCCGGGCTGGGTGCCCCTGTCAACCAAAGGCCCATCCCCACGGGCTGCCCATCAATGGCACGACACCGACTGGGCAACCTTGAACCTGTTTATCTATCAACGCTTTCTCCTTCTCGGCGCGACTTCTGATCAAATCCGTGAACCGCACGACGGTGCTCCACTCGAGTCAGTGATTGAAACTCATGTGTTAACTTCGCATCCGAGCAATACGTAGCTCCGTCCAGTGTATATCACTTGCTACTCCCGCCGATCGTTGGTTGAGCAGCGGACGTCATACCAAGACAAACGAACCGTCCAAGCTTCCCGTCTCGCAAAGCGCTTTGAACAACATCCACCGCCGATATTCATCTGATATGTCACTCCTTCTGCACACCATCCCGAAGTCATGATATCTGCGCCAATGGGGCCGGCAGATTACAGCGATGGCCTGCAACAGGCGCAAAAGGTCATCTTCGAGACGGGATCGTTTACCGGTTACCGCCATGTCGTGTCGGAACTCGGGAGCGGTTATCTGAGTGCCGAGCGCGTCTTCGCCCAGCCCTTGTGCGGAAACGAGGAGGGATGGGGCCCGATGAGCCCGTTTCGATATGACTTCACGCCATGCTTTATCGACGTGTGGGTGGCTACAGTGGCCGCGTTTGGCATCTTCGTCGGCTCAATCGCCGTATGGTGGCTGATTAAGAGGAAGCAACCGACACATGTGTCGAAGGACTGGCATTTTTGGACCAAAGCAGGTGGGTGATGTCTAGCGGACGTGGAAGTGATGATTATCATGTTCTGACTTTAAGCCCAGACGCTCCTCGGGCTCATCATCGCCAATGTCGCCGTCCAGCTAGGCTTCCAAATCGCCAACTACCCCGATATCTGGTACGGCGACTTTAGGGTCTACACCACCGCCGCCACCGTCCTCTCTCTCTTCGTCATCTTTACGATCCAGTGGCTCGAGCACTCCCGACTCCGAAACGCAAACGGCGTTGTTCTGTTCTACTGGCTATTCCTCCTGATCGCGCTTGCAGTCAAGCTTCGGTCCTTGATATCGCAGCAAATCTACGTCAAGAGCCTGCCATACTTTGTCACATACGCCGTAGGCTTCGGCCTTTCGGTGGTCGAATTCTTCTTCGAGTGGCTATGGCCAAAGAAGAATAGCACGTACGAGGCGCTGGTCGATGAGGAGGAGGAGTGCCCCGCCGAATACGCCACCGTCTTCTCCCTCCTCACTTTTTCGTGGATGACGCCCTTGATGAAGTACGGCTACTCGACGTTCCTGACGGAGGATGACCTCTGGGCGCTGTCAAAGAGTGACACGACCAAGGCAACGGGTGACGCCTTTGACAGCAGGTGGCAGCACGAACTGAAGCATCGGAAGAACCCTTCACTTTGGCGAGCCCTTTTCGGTGCTTACGGCGGTCCTTACATGCTTGCCGCCGTTTTCAAAGTGGGAAACGATATCTCTCAGTTCATGCAGCCGCAGCTCCTGAGGTTCCTAATCACGTTTGTGACTTCCTACCGCAACGGGAACGAGCCCCAGCCCGTCATTAAGGGCGCTGCTATCGCGCTCGCCATGTTTGCCGTTGCCGTTTTCCAGACAACCATGGTTCATCAATACTTCCAGTTGTCCTTTGTTACCGGAATGAGAATCAAGGGTGGCCTGACTTCCTCCATCTACAAGAAGGCCCTGAAGCTTTCGAACGAGGGCCGGGCATCCAAGTCCACTGGAGACATCGTCAACTACATGGCGGTCGATGCTCAGCGGCTGCAAGACCTTACTCAGTTTGCCCAACAAATGTGGTCAGCCCCCTTCCAAATCATCATCTGCATGGTTTCGCTCTACCACCTAGTCGGGTGGTCTATGTTGGCGGGCATTGGTGTCATGATCTTCATGATCCCCATCAACGGCATGATTGCTCGCATCATGAAGAACCTGCAGAAAAAGCAGATGAAGAACAAGGATGCCAGAAGCCGACTGGTTGCCGAAATTATCAACAATATGAAGAGCATCAAGCTCTACGCCTGGGGCGCGGCTTTTATGAACAAGCTGAACTACATCAGGAACGACCAGGAGCTGAAAAACCTACGCAAGATTGGAGCTGGCCAGGCCTTTGCCAACTTCACCTGGTCTAGCACTCCGTTCTTGGTCTCCTGTTCCACTTTCGCCGTATTTGTGCTTACCGATGACCGTCCCCTGACTACCGACATTGTCTTCCCTGCTCTAGGTATGAGCCCTTCTTTACAAACCATTTTCCCACGCTCTTCTGGCTAACCTTGGCTTCGCTCAGCTCTGTTCAACCTTCTCACCTTCCCCCTGGCGGTTCTCCCCATGGTGATCACCAGCTTCATCGAGGCCAGCGTTGCCGTTGGCCGCCTTACCTCATACCTAGTTGCCGAAGAAATCCAGCCCGAGGCTATTATTGCAAAGCCACCTGTTGAGATCTTGGGAGAGGAATCGGTCTTGATTCGCAACGGCTCCTTCTCTTGGAACCGCCACGAGGACAAGACCGTCCTAAAGGATATTAACTTCAGCGCTCACAAGGGTGATCTGTCCTGCATTGTTGGCATCGTCGGCGCAGGCAAGAGTTCTCTCTTGCAGAGTATCCTCGGTGATCTGTGGAAGATTAAGGGCGAGGTCGAGGTCCATGGAATGGTAGCCTACGTCAGCCAGTCACCGTGGATCATGAACGCTACTGTCCGGGAGAACATTGTCTTTGGCTACCGGGTACGAC